ACTTTTTCATTTGTTTTTACACAGAACGCTTCATTAATGTTACTGACACCAACTTTTGTGGGAGAAAAAAAAACTTTAAGGCGTTGCAACCGGCACAAGCGCGCTGTTCGTTCACCTTTTACAAAGTGTTGCTACAATTTACTAATGAAATGATAATGATTTACTAATGAATGATATGAAAGTTGGCGCAATGAGATTTGGCATATTTTTACCGGCTTTATTAATATTTTAGGAATTTTTTAAACAGTTTCGAAATTTTAATAATCAAACCAAATTTAAAAAATTTGAAAAATTAAAAAATATTTAAAATTTTAAAAAATTTTAAAACTTGAAAAAATTTTAAAACTTGAAAAAATTTAAAAAATTTGAAAAATTTAAAAATTTGAAAAATATTGAAAATTTGAAAAAATTTTAAAACTTCAAAAAATTTTAAAATATTTAAAAAAAAAATTAAAAAACCGAAAATATTAAAATAAATTTTTTTTTAATTTGAAAAATGTTTTAAAAATTTTAAATTTTTTCTAAAATTTGAACAGTTTTAACAATAAACTTTATTTTTTTTATATCCTGAAGTTTATAGCACCCTTAAGAAAACGTCGGACACCCTGTAAAGTGCATATACTTGTTGTATATGTAAATGATCAGCAAGACGAGCTAAGTCAATTTAGCCATGTTCGTCAGTCTGTCTTTCTATCTGTATAGATGTATTCAGGTAAACAAGTTTCTCAGATCTCGATCTGAAATTGTACACAACTCCCTGGCTCACCAAGAAGCTGCTTATTTGTCGGAACCGCCGTTATCGGACACTATAGCTTATAGCTGCCATACAAACCGACCAATCAAAATCAAATTCATGTTTGGACATTTTTTATTTGTGAATCGTTTTTCTAGCTTCGGTGCAACCGAAGTTAACATATTTTCTTGTTCTAGTGATTTTTGCGTGAACTTTAATTTTAATAAAAATTATTAATTTTAATAACAAATAATTAAAATTAAAATTAAATTAATTTGCAGAATCAAAAGCAACACTTTATAAGAGGCACGCAAAAGTCCACCCGCACCCTTATGTTATTAACGTACATATTTACTCACTTTATTAGTCGCACTTTATTAGCCGCAGATAATCGCTTTTTCACTAGCTCTTACTATTAGTTACAATTGCTTACAAGCTTTACGTCGAAAAACGCTTACACTTTCACACCTAACCCTTTAGTAGTGAATGCTGCTTTCTTTGTTTTTGCCGACTCATGCATTTTAATGGCGCTGCAGCCGCTACCGCACAAATGAACAGGTGAGTCGAAAACACCGGATGCTGCGTAAAGCGTACCGTATATGTGTGTATGTGTGTATTTTTTATCGTTTCACACACACGATTGTTTTGCGTTTCACTTTTTACACTTCTCACTTTCACAATTTCGCACTTGCTTGCTTTAACTTCATTTTAAAAGCTTTTGTTGGCCAATTCACCTTTACACTTCACTTCATCAACTCGCTGCTTGCGCGCTTCCTTTGCGGCACGTAAGTGTATGTACACATCACTTAACCTAACTTTTTTGCAGCACTTGCTGGTTTTCGCTTCACTTCAGCTGCGTGCTTTTCCACTTATTCATTTATTTAGCCTGTGTATTTGCGGGATTATTGCAGACGCTGCTGTTTTATAATTTACACTTGCTTGCGAATGCACACGGCGTACGTCCCTGCAGTTGCAGCGCCTTGCTGCCTTCACACACAAATCTCTCCCGTCACGCAATGGATGGAGGCGTAAACGCTTATACTTGTGGCGCAAACTACTCGCGTGTTGTTGTATTGGCAACAAACACTGCACAGCTGCACTGCTACACAAGTGCGTTCGTTAAGCCGACGACTGCAATCAATTTTGGCCGCAGTTATTTGTTCTGCTTAATAGAGTTCAACTATATGTTATGGCGTTTGCTGTTGTTGTTATTGTTATAGTGCGCATTGTGCGCAATGTGGTTCATTGTTGTAATATGTATGTCATTAATAAGGATTTCGCAGCTTTAATGCTGCACGGGGTGGCGCACTATTTATTTTATGCGCTTTTGCGCTTAAGCTAGGCCGCAGGTGTGCCGCGGGTAGTCGGCACAGGGAAGACAGTCCACTCTCTGCGCTGATATGCTGTATAATTCAGCGTTTCTTTTCACAAAATTGCACAGCTTTCGCAGCGCTTGTGTTAACACAATTTTCGCAGCAAACGTCAAATGTCAAACACAGCGGATTTATGCGAGGAGCGGATTGCAGCGAAAAACAATTGTCATTATTTTACACTTGCTTAGTTCACTCGTTATTTCAGTTAATTGTTAAATTGTATATTAACTTTCGCTTTGTACGCTTTTCGTGTACACTTTTCATACACAGTTCACACCTTGCTAACACACAGCTCACTTTCAACGTTTCTTGAGGGAAACTGCTTGATTTTCATTGATTGTTTGTTTGATATTTGTTTCGTCCTCGCTAAGGTCCAGCAAACTCGAATGAATACGCACGACTAGCAGTCACTGGATGTTGGCCAAGCGAAGTGTATCCGCCGTTGTCTGTTTTCTGTCACTCTCACACACACACATATATATACGCAAAGGGTATACACGGCGTATGATTTGCCATGCTTTGGAGACTTTCCAGCCAACACATAAACCGAATGAACGCGCTTAGTCTACAACATCCAAATGTCATGGACCAGTTATCAGTGTTTGCTGCATCCACACGAAAGCGTCAATGCGCAGCTGCCGCAAATGTCGCCCGCTTTGACGTTTGCTTCCCTGTCGCTGCTGCTGAGGCATGTTTTCTGTACACAACTCTCCCAACTAATTGTGTGCGTTGCGTTTTGCTCTAATTGTGTTTTCTACTGCTGTTGTGCGTTTGTGTGGGTGTGTGCCAACAGCTGATCTCGTTTGCTGTTGTGTGTTGTGCATTAAGCTTGAGAGTGGTTATTTTAATTGTGCTGCCTTCGTAGAAAATGGGGTCACGGGCGCGCAATCACTTGAAGAAGTTCGCCTTGTGCGGTTAATGAGACATCCCGAACACAACTGAAATTGAAAAAAAAGAGTTATTTGAAGCAAGTTGAGTTAAAAAATACTTATTTATTGAAGTAAAGTTATGTATGACAGCACTATTCGCAATGTCAATATTGAGAGAGAAGAGTTAAGGATGCTAATTTACAGTTTTAAATGCAACTATGTTATGAACTAAATTCTAATTGGACTATTAGAAAAGGCAAAAGACATAACCTCATTTGTAACTTTCTAATTTAAAAAAAATTCTTTATTAATATTAATTTTATTGTACAAATTTCCAAAAATCAAATTTTTGCATCTGAAAATTTATGAAGAATGTTATTTGTGTTATTATCCAAATTCTAATTGGACTTTTAAAACGCGCAATAAGTTTTCGCTGGTATAGTAATTTAAACTATCATAACCTCATTTTTATTGCTGGCTTAAACAAATGGCAAAATTTGTATTTCTTAATTAATTTTAATTTTATTTTACAAATTTTCAAAAACCAGTTTCATTTTTTAACTGCAAAATTCGCTTTGCAACCCATTGTGTATGCGCAGTGCTGCCAACATAACCTGCAAATGCCTAGTGTCACTTTGACAACTGCTGTGTATTTTTTCTACAACTACTGCCGTGAAGTTGCTTTTATACGTGGCCCCTCTAATTTGGTATTTGTTCAACGCTGCGCATCTTTAACAATATTTAATAGAGTTAAAATTTGTCGTTTGTGGCAATTGCGATTTACACCATACAGAACGATTATGAATCTTAAACTGTGCGGCACATTATGTGCGCTAGTGCTGTTGCAATTGCTCCGTGCCAGCGAAGCGTTCATCGTCACCGTTGACGCACACAATGAAGAGTGTTTCTTTGAGAAGGTGGAAGGCGGCACCAAATTCGGTAATTTTAATTAAGCCAATAAGCTTCTATAGATATTGTTGCTAAGTTATATGCACATTTTTGGCAGGCGTCACATTCGAGGTTATCGAAGGCGGTTTTCTCGATATTGATATCAAAATAACTGGGCCGGATAACAATATCATACATGAGAGTGAAAAGGAATCATCTGGCAAATACACTTTTGCCACCGTTTCAACAGGTATATATCGCGTTTGCTTTAATAATGAGCGCAGCAGCATGACACCCAAACTGGTGATGTTCTCCATTGAGGTGAGCGAAACGCCGCATCGTGCAGCGGGTGCGCCCAGCGAGGAGGAGGTTGGTCACACCAAGTTGGAGGATATGATACAGCAATTGTCGGGCACGCTGACGGGTGTCAAACATGAACAGGAATACATGCATGTGAGTAATGGGGAAACTGCCGCGTTGCAAATATTACTTAAAAGTAGTAAATACTTTTTGACAGGTGCGTGACAAAATCCATCGGTCCATCAACGAGAGCACCAATTCGCGCGTTGTCTTGTGGTCTACTTTCGAAGCGCTGGTGCTGGTACTGATGACCATCGGTCAAGTTTACTACCTGAAACGTTTCTTCGAAGTGAAACGTGTTGTTTAAGTGAATTGTGAGCGGACGCAGATGTGGACACTATACCTCCAGTTACAAACATTTTAGTTTGCCATTTTGTTGTAATAAAACGTCTATTTCTGCATAGTTGCGTTAAACGCAGCTAATTCACCATTCATGTGCAATACGATTTTACTGCATATAAGTTAAGATTTTATGGCATCCATCTTATCCACTCATCCTGATCATATTTACGGAATTTACCGAAATGACAGAAAACTTAAATTGGCTCGCATTCTTATTTGATTGAAACATGTAACATCGGAATATTTTTTAGAGCAAATAAATTTAAGACTTATAAATGTGGTTTCACTATGACTGGTTGGTGTAAGACAGGGAATTGACGAACATGAAATAAGGTGGAAGAATTTTTTTTATATAAACTGTACAAACTATTTGCAATGGCGCATTCAAACATATCAGTACCAATATATTAATTTGCGCACAATTTATTTTAACTGATCAGGCAACTCTAAAAATCGGCCGCTCTCTTCAATGTGATTGTCTCTTAAATTTCAATGTCAATTTACTTTTCAGTTGTGTTTATTTTGTGAATTAACATCGAAAAACAAAATATAGCGTTGAATAATTGCAGTCATTAAAGATACAAAAGTGAGCACTACTAGAAGACAAGAGCAGCTAAAAAAGTTTACTGAGTTATTTGCAAAAATGGCATTTAATTCAGCCAACATTATGCTACGCATAAAAACACCGCCAGTGACCTTGGCAATGGTCGCTTGTCTGCTACTCGTGTCCTTGACACCCACCAAAGCCGCAGAAGTGAACTATAAACCCAACATTTTGCTAATACTAAGCGATGACCAAGACATTACACTGGAGGGCCTGACCCCCATGCGGCAGGCGCAAAAGTTGATCTCAAAAGCCGGTGCTCAATTCAGTCATGCGGTAGGTACTACTCCATTATAAATCTTGCCGTACATTTTCACTTATTTTGAATTTTTACCAGTACACCAGCTCACCACTCTGTTGCCCCTCCCGCGCTAGCCTACTATCTGGCATGTATGCGCACAATCACGGCACTATCAACAACACCATTAACGGTGGCTGCAATGGCCACCATTGGCATACAGAAATTGAGCCACGCGCACTACCTGTGCTGCTACAAGACGATGGCGGCTACGAGACTTTTTTCGCTGGCAAATACCTAAATGAGTTTCATGGTGAACGCAAGCCGCCGGGCTGGACACAATTCTATGGCTTACATGGCAACTCTCGCTACTACAACTACACTTTACGTGAGAACGAACGAAATGTTAGCTACACTGACACTTACTTAACGGATCTATTGCGCGATAAGGCATTGAGATTTCTGAAATCACGCAATAAGCAGCAGCCATTTTTCGCAATGATCGCGCCGCCAGCGCCCCATGCACCGTACACTCCCGCAGAACGACACCGTGGCGCATTCGCAAATGTGAAGGCGTTACGCACGCCCAACTTCAATCGCGTACCACTGCCACAAGGTAACGCTACCTTGCGTCTTCAACAATAAACACAATTGTATATTTTGCACCATTTCAGAGAAGCACTGGCTTGTGGCAGCAACGCGCTCTATGCCGAATGAAACAATGAAATTACTAGACAGCTACTACCGCCAACGCTGGGAAACGTTGCTGGCCGTGGACGAAATGATAGCCGCTATAATTCAGACATTGGATGATCAGCGCCAGTTGGACAACACCTACATCATTTACACATCAGATAACGGTTATCACATGGGTCAAAACGCGCAACCATGGGACAAACGGCAACCCTATGAAACCGATATACGCGTGCCGCTGCTGCTGCGCGGACCTGGAATATCACAGGGCGTTGTAGTGTCACAACCCACATTGCTGCTAGATTTAATGCCTACAATATTGCAGTGGACGACACTGCATGCACACACAACGTTGGACGGGTTGCCAATACAGGCAGCCATGCAACAAATAAGCGATGACAAACAGTTGAAAGAATACCGGCGCAGTATGTTGATACAGCATTGGGGTGAAGGCAACGCTGAAACTTATAATCGCGACTGTCCATGGTCGCGCAAAGACCACTTGTCGCAGTGCACGCCCGAAGCGGATTGTCACTGTCAGGATGCTTGGAATAATACGTATGCATGTGTCAGGCAATTTAGAGACAAAACTGATCGACTGTTTTGCGAATTCAATGACAGAGAGGTGTGCAGCTAGTTGAGTTGTTGACTTCCAATAAATAAAAAAATATCTTATATTTTAGAATTTCGTTGAAGCATACGATGTAAACGATGATCCGCATCAAATCAACAACATCGGCTATGATTTGCTGCCAATTGAGCACGCCTTTTATAGTTTGGCGTTGGTGAATTTGACACGCTGCGCTGGCAGCCAATGCAATGATATCAACATTTGAACGTCGAATCACATTGAGGCGCACAAAATGATCTCGAGTTGTGATTAAATTTCGCATAAACTTTCAGTATAGCACATTTGGGTAAACCCGTAAGTCGTCGTTATTTATTGTCTATATTTCACCAAATTTGCTTTATTGTTAAAACTCGAATAAAAAAAAAAGAGAAACACTAATGTATTTTTTTTTTTGCTGATGGTGCTGCTGACCGCATGGAAAAGTACAATCACTGACATATTCAGCTTTAAAACTATGTAATTTTATTAATTGTAATGTTTATATATGTTGGACTTCGTTTCATGTGATATATCATGTCACTTCATTTGATTTATGTCCTTAAAAACTGAACGTAATCATAGTAGTTAAATTAATTTATTTTTAAGTTAATGCTTCCATAGATATTATTGTATGATTTCACTTGATGGTTTTTCAAACCGTATTACTGAAGTTATTTAAACAAAATGAACTGTATTAAAAAAAGTAAAGTACTAATAACTCAATTTAATTATGATTCAGTTTGCGCCGCAGCTTATTAAAAAAAATGAGAACTATATTACTACGCGAACTAGCTTAAAGAGAAACAGTGAAATTACTACATAAAGTATGTATATTTTCGATTGAATTGCAACTTGAACGTTTGAATAAAAACGATCTTTATTTTTGTTTAAACACTACTTCTGTGTGGATTCTTGCAGCTTACGCGGTATGTTATACGTATTGCATTTGTTTCATTCACTTCGTATTCAGAAACAATCATTGCAATGCCTACATAAGTTTATTTGATTTTGCAATTCTTCTGATTTTCTTGTCTGTTTGCACTTAAAAGTCCTTAAACTAGTGTCTTACTCGGTCGGTTCTTTGCTGGTTGAATTTTTATCTTCTTCTGCATTAGCCGTATGCCAAGTAAGACGTTCCTCATAGAATTGTATGACTATCTGTGGGCATTTTACATTGGCTTGTTTGGCCGGCACTAAGTCAGCTTCGTCGCTGCCTTTCCATTTCATGAGGAACATCAGCTCGCCCGATGAATCGGTAGCTCCGAGTATTTTAGATGGTTCTAGACCTCGATCGAAGCCCATTGTGCGTCGGTTTTCTCGCTCCTCTTCAACAGCTTTTCGTTTTACTTTTGTGTCATTCACTGGCGTGTTACTGGAGCGTTTTTTGCTCTCTATTTAATAAGTAAAAGTAAATATTTTTCTTTCTGTTCTAATTGCTACACCATTGAAAATATTTTCTCACCTTTCTTTGTTTTCAACGACTCCTCGAATGCTGCGATCAGATCGGGGCAGTCGAGGTTCTCAACGGGTTCCCATGAATTTTCGCTGCGCGGGTAACCTTTCCATTTTAAAAAATACTCGGTCTGCAAGCAAAAGCATATGCAACATACTTCCAATTGAAATAAAACTTGCGGAACTTACTCTGCCATTGCAAATGCGTTTATCCTCAATGCGTTCCACAGAATACTCGCCCGCTTCAGACATAGTGTTGTTGTCGTTGCTGGCGATTTTGATAGTGGCACTGTGCTCGCTTCACTGTGAGTTCAAACACGTTAACTCACCTAAATCTATTAACTTTCAAAGACACCAACTTGTAGAAGAAACAAAAAAGTACTTTTTGAGGAATGTATTAAATGTTGCCGAAATTTAGCAAATGCAATCCAGTGCCGTTCGCTATGGAAACACGAAGCGGCAACGCCGTAATCGCTGGCCCAACTACATAGGTTTTATAAATAACCATGCGGTATAACTTTTTCGTTTAGTTTCCATGGAACGTTCACTGTATTTAATTGATTATGAATTTTTACCTTTGCTATCAAATTTCTAAGTCAAACGGATAAATTTTCCCACGGAATTTTCCGATCTAATATTGGTGTGCGTCTTTTTCACTATCCTTTCTCCGAATTCCGCTTTCGTTAAGTGAAGTTAGCCGCGATTGTACGATGAGGCGCTTTTTTGCACAGATGAGGCGAAAAATGAGGCGATAAGGAAATAACACGACGAAGATAATAGATTTTATAGAGAGGTTAAAAAAAAAAATAATATAATATTTATTTAATTTTTTAATATTCTTTTGCTTTTTAATTGCTTCCCCTTGATGCGCTACTCCAAATAACAGTGCATTTAAATGTTCAGATGTGGAATTATAGTTGAAAGGGACGTTGACACAATTTTGCATCATATTAAATAATTTTCAGTATAATAAACTGTTAATATATTTTATTCGACGAACGCTAGATCAATGAATATGACACTATTGAATAGACCTATGAGAAAACTAGTTCTTCTTATCTATTTATAAATAACAACCACTTGTATAATCTCAATCATTCATTAAATTTAAAATTATAAAGCAAAGTCTTAAATAAAAATTCGCTATGAAATGTTTCATAACAGATGCTATCTTTACGAGGTATTTTATTGCATACAGTTGGCAGCTCTATGTAAAACGTCAAACGTTCTAAATTTACTGCTGGCAATCCTTCTCTGACGGCTGCCAGCTATATTCATCAGCGGTGAAAATCAATTTTGCCGTTTAAATTGTAAGTTTTCCACACCTATTTGATGAAAATTCATCTCAATTTGCACTTGTGCATAGTAAAACAATTGTGCTAACCGAATTCTTTAAAAGTTCTAAAGTGAGTGCATTTCTTTTCGTGGAAATGTGTATCTGAAAATGGTTGTGCATTTCATGTGTGGTGTGGCAGAATGACAGCGCCATGTTGGCCAAAAGCGAATGCATACAAACGAATATAACCTCAAATTTTAGCTGATTTATATATTTGCAAAGCATCAAGTTTCCTATTAATAAACATTTATCATTTTAGAAAACACGTATACACGACTATTAAAAGGAAAACATGTCGCGTTTCTTTGCAACCGGTTCTGACTCTGAGACCGAGTCCAGTGATGAGGAGGTCCCAGTACCAGCGTATAGCAAAGCGACCAACTTTGTATGTAAACATAATTTCGATTTCAATGTCCCTTTCTAATATTCTTTATCTGTATAGCAATTTAGTGATGATGAAGAGGAAGTGAAACGCGTTGTGCGTTCCACTAAAGAAAAACGTTATGAAAATCTGACAGCGATTATTAAGAGTATACGCAATCACAAGAAAATTAAGGATATGTCGAGCATTTTGTCAAGCTTCGAAGATCTGACACGCGCCTACACCAAAGCATTGCCCGTTATTACTAAAGAAGAGAAGGGTGTAACCCCACGTTTCTACGTTCGTTGTCTTGCCGAGTTAGAAGACTTTATTAACGAAGTATGGGAGGACCGTGAAGGGCGTAAAAACTTGTCCAAGAATAACTCAAAATCTTTGGGACTATTGCGTCAAAAAGTGCGCAAATACATCAAAGATTTCGAGGAGGATTTGACTCGTTTCCGCGAAGCGCCTGATCAAGAAAGTGATGCCGAAGAGGAGGAAGCTTACGACTCTGATCAGGAAAAGAACGATACTGGTTCGGTGGAAATCTTGCGAGATTTTAAACAGCCAGTTGAAGCAAAGTCTTCTAAAGCGGCTGCGCCGTCCAAAGCCGTCGAACAGGATGATGACTCTGAGGATTCCATTGATTGGGGTTCTGATTCGGAGTCAGAATCTGAGTCATCGGACGACGAAAATCAATATCAAAGCACGCGAGAGCGTTTCTTGAAGCGCCCCAATGTAGAAAAAGAAGAAAAGGAGGTACGCGAAGATCGCAAAAAAGAAAAACGCGCCAAAGAAGCAAAGATACGGCACAAGGTACGTATTGAGGAGGATGCCGATGAAGAAGGTGAATGGGAAACTGTATTCCCACACACTGTCGAAAAGCCGAAGATGTTCGATAAAGACGCCGAAATAGATGTGCCACTGACGCTGCAGAAGCTGTCTGAAATTATGGCTGCGCGCGGCAAAAGACGTACCGACCGACGCATGCAAATCGAGATGCTCTTTGAATTACGTGACATTGCCGAAGAACATCAGTTGGGCAACGCTGTTGCTGTGAAAATTCATTTTAGCATAATTTCAGCCATCTTCGACTACAATCAGAAAATCTCTGAACCCATGAAACTGGAGCATTGGAGCAAACTGCTGGATATCATGCAAAGTATGATGAAAATTCTCTTGGCCAACGAAGATATACGCATGAGCGAAGAGGTGCAAGAGGAGAACGAAGAATTCGCCAATCCGCCATACGCAATACGTGGTTGTTCGCTGGCCGCAGTTGAGCGCTTGGATGATGAATTCACCAAGCTGCTAAAGGAGTGCGATCCACATACCAATGATTATGTGTCACGTTTGAAGGATGAAGTTACCGTAACGCGCATCATCGAGTCTGTGCTGGAGTACTTCGAGCGCGTTGGCAACAAAAATGAGCGTTGCCGCGTTTATTTGCGTAAAATCGAGCATTTGTACTATAAGTTCGATCCCGAAGTGTTGAAGAAGAAGCGCGGCGAGTTGCCAGCAACTACGACCACATCCGTTGATGTAATGGATCGTCTCTGCAAGTTCATCTACTCCAAGGACGACACGGATCGTATACGTACACGCGCTATCCTAGCGCACATCTACCATCACGCCATGCACGATAATTGGTTCCAAGCGCGCGACCTGGTACTTATGTCGCACTTGCAGGACACCATCGATGCTGCCGATCCATCGACGCGCATTCTCTACAATCGCATGATGGCCAATTTGGGCTTGTGCGCTTTCCGCCAAGAGAACATCCGGGACGCGCATCATTGTCTGGTCGACTTAATGGTGACTGGCAAGCCAAAAGAACTGCTAGCACAGGGCTTGCTGCCACAGCGTCAGCATGAGCGTTCCGCGGAGCAGGAGAAGATTGAGAAGCAGCGCCAAATGCCATTCCACATGCACATCAATCTTGAGCTGCTCGAATGTGTGTATTTGGTATCGGCTATGCTGCTGGAGATACCCTACATCGCTGCACACGAATTCGACGCGCGTCGCCGCATGATCAGGTAAAGCACAGCGTACGCGCACACGCTACTTGCATTTCGCTAATCAAATTTTATATTTTTTAGTAAAACCTTCTATCAACAACTGCGCTCTTCCGAACGCCAATCGTTGGTGGGACCACCCGAGTCGATGCGCGAGCACGTCGTCGCCGCCGCTAAGGCCATGCGCTGCGGCAATTGGCAAGCCTGCGCCAATTTCATTGTAAACAAGAAAATGAACACCAAGGTTTGGGATCTGTTCTACGAGGCCGATCGCGTGCGCGACATGCTCGTGAAATTCATCAAGGAAGAGTCGCTGCGCACCTATCTCTTCACCTACTCGAACGTCTACACCTCACTGAGCATTCCCTCATTGGCGCAGATGTACGAGCTGCCCGTGGAAAAGGTGCATTCGCTCATCAGCAAAATGATAATCAACGAGGAGCTCATGGCCAGCTTGGACGATCCCACCGAAACCGTGGTTATGCATCGTTCGGAGCCATCGCGCCTACAAGCGCTCGCCATGCAATTTGTGGACAAGGTCACCAATCTGGTGGATGTGAACGAGAAGGTCTTCGATATGAAGCAGGGCAACTTCTTCCAGCGCGGCAACATGGGCAACCGCGATCGCGGCTACAACCGCAATCAGAACAATCAGGGCGGCAACTGGGGCGGCCAGCGACGCGAAAATCGCAATCAGCGCAATCGCAACCAACGCAATCAGCATCATCATCATAAGCAACAACATCAACAGCAGCAGCACCACGAACAACAAACCCAACAACAACAAACTATCGAGGAAGAGTAAGACATTGCCAAACGCCGCAGCGTGACACGTCAAGCAGGCAACCAATTAAACAACAACACTTATAAACTTAAATGATGCGAACAAATGTGAAGGTCGAAGAAATTAGCAACAAAGAAACTATTAGCAATAACTGCTACTGGCGCACTCTCGCGCCACTGTGCGTGCGTAATGGCTGCGTCAGCTGTTGCGGGAGTGCGCCATTTTAGACACTGCAAGTTCGAGTGAGCTCAGCAAAATTTCGCTAGTATGCTTTTTACTATTATTTTATATAATATTTTTTTTCACTTAATGCCTTTGCGCATTTTAAGTAAGTCAAGTTGTTGCTTTCTTCGCACTGTTGACACGCGGAATTTGAGTTTTGAAGGCCAACTGCTTGAGATGTTAAAATAAATAAATAAAAATACTACTGAAATTAATGTAATAATTGAACGTTTAAGATATATACATATATACAATACAGATAACTTTGAAAAACACTATTTGCAAGAAGAAAATCATTTATAACCTATAAAGGCAAATACAACAAAGGCGCGCACAACAGTGGAGACTTTTCATTTTTATTTGTAGAGTATCCCATCCCCATGGGAAGTTTTCCAAGCATCTTCCAAGCGAAAGTCTATGCTATAAGTCGGTGTGTAGAGATAAACCTCCAACGGAACTATCGCAATGAAAGTATTGCCATGCTCAGTGATAGTCAGCGGCACTAAAAGCGATCTCTGCCTATGAGGTTAAATCACTACAGGTGCAGGAGCGGCTGACGAGCTGGCCCGCTCTGTAGCCTCCACCAGAATGGTAGGACCAGAAACTTGCATCGCGGTTGGTCCACATACCATAAAGGAGCGGCACCGTAATGAGGAAAGAGTAGGCAGCGAGAGACATTAGCAACAACTCCAAGGCATGCGCCATGCCAGATTGCTAATGGGGGGTTACGACCTCAGAAGGTTTAAAAATGTAATCAATCTCCCGAAAAAAAAAATTCCGGCAGCTTGTCGCGTTCTACACTGGCCATTGCAGGCTTAAGAAGCATCTATACGGCATGAGATTAGCCACTTGTGCAAACTGCCGGTTCTGTGAAAAGGAGCCGGACCCAGAACACCTGCTGCAGACGCAGAATTAAGGCACTTATACTCATGTTTCCAAATAGGGATCACATCGCCGCATTAGCGCCTAGCAGTTACCGCAAATGGAAAGGAAGCTATTAAAAGCATTGCGTGTAACCGACCCCTAATACTCGCGACAATGTCGAAGGTCAAACCGCGCTTTAGAGGGTGAGTCAAGCTTATTTAGGCGAAGAGAGCATCTTCACAATTGAGAGCGGAACGCTTTAACCTACGTTTTCTGTTTATATGTATGATTGTATGTGCTTTGGAACCAAGCGCACTCACTTAGATTTTAATTTACAGGGTTTCTCATTAAAGCATTTTTTTTATAAAAGACACTATAGCCTGACTATCAAAGTTGACTTTTAAACTTCAATACGGTCAACTCATGAATAACCTGGAGACCACGATAGATCCAAGCGACCGCAACAACAGACCGGGTAGTGAGCTAGGTTTGTGGGCGTTGAGTTGTGCTGACTTCGCGATTCCCACAAAAACCGTCGCTACGCACCGCAATCAGTAGGTAGGTAGATAAGTAGAGTAGCTGTCTGACGACACAGCTTGGCCTATGGGAGGCCCATGCTTTCATGTCTACTAATCAGACAGTGACCTCTTAGTTAGGTATTTTACCGAACTGATCCTTGCAAACTTTAGGTGAAGATCGGACCATCATAAAAATATTGAATAAACTTTGTTCTAAGAAAAGAGCTCTTTATATAAACGCACATCAATCCTTATTGTGAGACCCTTTAGAAAGCAAGTAGAGAGTGTGATTGAGCGATTATAGGAATATTAATGAACAGCGCAGCTGCGGCAAATACCGCAGTTTTTCCAAAATATATGTATCTATGCGCTAATACACGCTCACCCACACCCACACACACACACACAACCACACACATTTATGTAAATAACCATACATACCCACACTGCCGTAAGTATCTGAGGAAATTCGCATAATTTGCATTGACACATAATGCCGGCAGCGCGCGCCGCGTTGCACACAGAGTGCTCAGCCGGTTGACGCGCCCCTCACCCAGCACATTTGCGAAGATTCTCCGCGAGCGCTAGCGTCTTATTGGAATTCTCCGTGTGCGCTTTCTTTGCACGCGCTCGCCGAATGATGCTTTGTTCGGCTTCAACGCGCGCACACACTCTTCGCCAGCACTGACTGCCAAACAGCCAACGTCTGCCGGCAGTTGGACGGGTGAGCTCAACGCGACCGCAAGTGTACGACGAAGATTCACTGAATTGACAGATTAAGTGTGAAAAGTGTTTAGCAATTGCTGCAAAGTGCGCAGGCGATTCACAACAGAGCTGAAGCAACGCGTAATTTGAAAGTCTGAAATTCCAAAATTGCTGCGAAATTTTTCAAATAAACAAAAAACTGCGTTAAGTGAGGCAGACGAGCTTGTCGGCATAGCATTTGAAATTTTTGCACAAAGAAAAATGTCCGAAACACCCACGCAGCAAGCGCTGACGTCCGCCGTACTTGTGGCGCGCCAACAACACCAACAGGCGGAGACGCCAAAAGAGATTACCGCGCTGAAACGCGCTGCGCTGCAGGTGATGGCCGGCGGTTCGGCTGGTTTTGTGGAGGTTTGCATTATGCAGCCGCTGGATGTGGTGAAGACACGCATGCAGCTGCAGACGACGACGAAAGCGCTGGGGGAGGTGGGTAGAGCGCGCGTACTGTTTGTGTAGACGAGTGTGAAAAACGATAGCACTGTGTGTGAGTGTGTGTGTGTTGTGAGTGCGTGAGGATCGCCAACGTTGTAAGCGCAGTTGTAAGAGCGCGCTTGTATGGGTGTGTGTGCCTCTGTATTTACAATTCTGTGCTAATTGACAAATTAAGGCTATTTTTGAATTTTATCTACGCCGAGTTTGTAGATAGCGCTGATAACATAAATAATTTTATTTTGAAAAGTTATCAGTAAAGCTTATTAAATTCTTGTTGATAAATTTAGAACAAAATAGCCAAGTCGATACACATTTTATCAAGTTAATCCAAAAACTGTGTCAGACCTTTGAAAACCACCACATGGCATGAGCACATGTGCCAACCTCGCAAACTAAGACGCGCAATGCAGCACAACAACAGTTTCTTCCTGCTACGCGGTCCAACAATGTCAACATTGACATTGTCCTTAATCAACAATAGCCGCGAAAAGCCCCCAAAAGGAAGAAAAAACAAAAACAAAATGAAAGCAAAGCAGAAAAGTCAAAAGAGAGCATGTCAAATACGCGCGGTATATAGCAAAGTTGGTGAGAGCGGTTTTTGTTGTTAAGCGCTAAGCAAAAAAGTAATAATCAAAAAATAAATAAAACCGCGCTACTTTCGGTACACAACGCCCGAATTTTTTCACAGATATTAGCGGGGCTGGTCAAAGGGGTGGTTGTAGTCAAGCGTATGAGCGATTTAAAATGCTAACTAACATGTTGACATAAGCAGTGACCGCCTCAAGTCAGTGACTTGTTGCATCATTTAACATCAAATGCAACACTGCAGTTGTCAACAAACAGCTGATCACGTTTTTGAGAGAGTTTTTGAGCCCAAATGTGCTTGGAGCAAAGTTTTTCTGTCATAAAACCCACGAAGAAACCAAAGATCTAAGCTAAAATGTTGCCTAGCTCTGCTATCACTTGAAATTGAGTTCGTACGAGTATAAGACCTATCCGACTTTGAACTTTGTTATTCCTAGGAAAGTTAGAGGAACGCCCAAAAATCGCTTGAGTTAATTATAACAGCTGTTCACTTTTTTGGGTAACTTGAGAGAGTATAGACGAGTATATGGAGAGTAAAGAAAATCAGGAAACTAAACAAAGGTTCATAGAATTATCAAACTGCTCTCGTAAGCACATATACAGTTTGGTTGAAAAGTTTCTGCGCGCGAAATGAAAAAATACTGTTTTTGTTACGAAATATATTTTTTTATGCAATATAATTTCCCTTAACTTCAATACACTTATGCCAATGGTCCTTCAATAGTTTTATGCCATCCCTATAATAAATTTCGGTTTTGCGGAGCTTACCCGTCTATGGCTTTAATAGCTTCTTCATTCGACGAAAATTGCTTTCCACGAAAAATTGTTTTTAGTTGTCTTACCTTTCTGTGGATAATCAATCAACAAAACTCCTTTTGCAACCCAAAAAAACTGTTGCCATAACCTGCATTGCTCATTGCTGTGACTTCGCCTGCTTTGGAGCTGCACAGCCAGCTTCAGTCCACTGTAAACGTTCGTGTTTCACTTTAGCATCATGGTGGTAGCTCCAAGTCTCATTCATTATTATAAAACGATGCAAGAAATTGGTTTTATTCCGCTTAAAACGCTACAAATAATGCTGAGAGATTTGTTTTCGTTCCAGTTTTTGTTGCATTGTTAACGTGTGCGGCACTAACTTTCCAAACAGCTTTTTCATATCAGTATAATACTCCATGTAAAATATGAAGTACTCTTTCGTCTGAGTTGCCCATGGCATTAGCAATTTCACGCTTAGTCAAACTTGACTCTTCATTAATAATATTATGAACTTGCTCAATGATTTCTGATCAAGCCTAGTACGACCACGTTTGAATTCAGTAGGTGGGAGCTCCTTATACACTTCTAACAATTGTTCATAAATTTCCTTTGCTTTTAAAACTTTCAAAACAAAGAATGTAATCACTGCGCGTTATTCAATATTTTCCATATTAAAAAAAATTCGCTGACACGTCAACTTCAAATGACTTGTAAACAAAGAATTAATTGACAGAATAACTCGTAACTTTGCTACTACAGATGTACCAGCATGAGAAAAAAAAACTTGCAGCCAGTAGTGCTATTTCTTGGTGAGGCCAACCAACTTTTCCACCAACCTGTATATATGGAAAGTAAAGAATGTCAGAAATCACTTATGTATGTACATTCATACATAATTATGTATGTTTGCATTTCTAAAACCATTTCAAGCTTATTGTGTTTTGTGGTTTATACCTATATACATTAACATATTACATATATAAATAAAACACACATTAAGCTCTTCAAAAGATAAAAGCGTGAGGATACAGCGATAAGTTTCTGGGTGTAATAAAAAGTTAAGATACATATTTATATTTATATTTAACAGATAATCGTATTCTCAAAAAAATTCTCGATATTTTAAATAAAAGGCGTCGAATTGCGCGAAAAAGCTGTTAAATAACAATTTTCAATACATTTTTGCTAATGTAACACCCGAAAAACTCTTGACAGATGCACTGAAAACGGTATTGAGTTGAGAACATGCTGCGAAGATACAAATGTATTTCCTACTTCAATTTATTTGCAATTGGTCTAATAGAAACTCTGGTACATAGCATGAGAAAATCGATAAAAATACCCGAAATACACTCAAGATCAAATTTGACTCGGACTGCTTCATATAAATTGAAGCAATAAATATTTTTTCCTAGATTAAATAGTTAGAAATATATCAGCCGATTGTATAGAGCTTCTTTCTGTTAAATTGGTCTCTTTACCTTTCGAAAATTATGTAACGCATTCGCCAACTTTATTTGTTAAGTAGAGTTTAATCACTAAATTGTTTAAACTTCACGCTTGTTAAGCTAATTACTAACGGCGTGGCGCCCTGTGATGACGTTGCGCCAGTTGAGTATATTTATTGGAGCGCATGTTTGTGCATGCTGTATACTAAAGGGCATGACAAGGTCAACGGTAAATACATGGAATTTAGATATGCAATTTAAGATTTGCTTGAAAATATGAATATGTACACACATACATACATATAAATGACTAAGTAGCAAAAGTAAAAGAAATATGTAATAAATAAAAAAGAAATAAGAAAAAGCATCAACAAACCCGAATACCCTTCACAAATAACGAAGTTTCCATACAAGAATTTGATTTTGAGCGTTTGATTTGTATGACAGCTATATGCTATAGTTGTCCGATCTGAAAAATTTCTTCAGCTATTAAAGCATTGCTATGGGCAATAATTCATGCCGGATTTCGTGAAGATAATACGTCAAATAAAAAATTTTTCCATACAAGCACTTGAAACCGATCGCTCAGTTTGTATGGCAGCTATATGCTATAGTGCTCCGATATCGACGGTTCTCACAAATTAGCAGCTTTTTAGAGAGAAAACGACGTGTGCAAAATTTCTGATTGATATTTTAAATGGTGAGCGACTAGTTAGCGTATATACAGACAGCTGGCGGGACAGACGGACATGGCAAAATCGACTTAGCTCGTCAGGCTGCTGTTGTTATTGTTGTAGCGGCATAAAAGATTCCTGAAGTAATTTCAAAGAATGTTGGCGAGTTGACTGTCGGCTCCATTCCGGTTACTTAGACCCTATGGTGCTGGGAGCAGGGTCACGCTGATCAATAATACATGATATATACATATATATACCCTACATTATGGGGTTTCCAATGTTTCTCTCTGGGTGTTAGAAACTTCGTGGCAAACTTAAAAGTAATACACTGTTCAGAGTATGAAAAAATTTTTTAAAAAATTATGCAGCAAATCTTCAAAAAAAAAAACTACCAAAGGCTACAAATAATATGCAAATGTGGAAATATGTTCAAGTATTAGTGTGTTGCAAGAGCGTTAAATAGAAATGAGTAGAATTGTTTGGTAGTTCAAAATGTTAAGTTTTATAGGTTAGAATTTAAAACATAATTTTTTGAATTCGAATTAAATATTTTACTTTAAAGATTCTTCATTTTGACTAAAGAATGTTATTTAATTTTTTTCAACTTTTTATGTTTTTATTTTTAAAAATTTTTTAATTTATTTTTTATTAAAAAATGTTTTTTTATTATTATTTTTTATATTAATTAATTTCACTTCAATATTTAATTTTTTTATTTTTTTTTATTATATTTGATTTTATTATATTTTTTAAAATATTTTTTTAAATTTTTTTAAAAATATTTTTTTAAATTTTTTTTTAATATTTAAAAAAAATTTTTTTTTTAATATATATTTTTTTTAAAATATTTTTTATATCAATTAATTTCGTAAAGTTTCATGTTAAGTTGCAAAATTTCGTTTGCACCCTAATGTGCATGCACACTTATTTAAACACATTGTTTTGCTTTTTGTTAATATTATTAAATATTACTTCATTTTCCATTATATTTTGGGCTCGCAAATTCTGCTCAGAAATTATTTAAACAGCCACACTAGTGCTTAGTCCACTTAATATACATATGAATACATGTATATATGTATATATGCATGTAAGTATGTATGCAGCTAAGTGCTTATTAAAAAAGTAATATTTACAAACATACAACTACATGCGTAGACAGTTAACACAACGGTACATGCTATCGCGTTATCAGCTTAATGAGCGCTCGCATGTCTGACACTTGAGCAACCGCGGCAGTGTGCCAATACACACACACACACACACAAAACACTTCTAAAAATATCTACATACATACATCTATACAAAATGCAAGCAATATTGCACACACACGGGTAAAAATATATGTATGCCCTCTAATGCTTTTTTTATTGCCAAACAAGATTTCGTCAGTTTGCTACCCTGCACTTGCTGCCGCCCCTTTTCGACACCGCGCGCCTCCAGTGCGCGAAACCACCGACTGCTTAATATTTGGCGTGTGCATGACTTCATAAACAAAAGCAAATAAAACTACCCGAAATTGTGCACAACAAAAAATAATGCGCAGCTAAGAGGAGAGCAGCGGAGCAGAGCGGGTGTCATAGCAGGGAGATGGCTTTTTGGGCGAATAGAATATGCTGATAATATCCAAAAATCAGCATGACCAGCTGAGTCGATTTAGCCATGTGCGTTTGTCTGTCCGTCCGTCCGTCTGTCTGTCTGTATATACGCAAACTATTCCCTCAATTAGATATAGATAATTGCTTCAAATCTGCATGCTACTCGATTTTAGCCAAAGCACTAAAGGGTTAAATATTTATATTTGCTACTCGAGTCACAGCGATAAGAAGAGACTTCAGCAATGCGCTTTATATTGACTAAATGAGCGTTGTTGTTGTGCCATACATAGATCATCACGCTCATTAGTCAATGTAATAAGACGGCGCTCGGCGTACGATAGTTGTTGTGTTTGGCTGCTTTTTGCACTTGATTTGCTAATAAGAATGGTGTAAAGTAAAAAGAGCAACCAATTTGCAACAGTAATACCAATTGAGAGTTCAATACGCAAAGTATAGTATTGTGTAAGTAGTAGTTTTGCATGCAAACGTTTAAGCACCGTTATATGTATGTGCTCTCGAGAGTTTCTTGTTAATTGCCTAAAAATAGCTTTCAATCGAAAGTAATGATGCTTCGAATGCGTCACACAGAAAAAATATACTGAATGTAGCCATATGTATGTATGTATGTATGTATGTACATATACATAATATGTATGTATGGTTTCTAAATAATTTCAAAGAGGCTTGTCTCATGACTCGATTTCCGCTGCAATTTTGCTGCTTGGAAGCAAGCGAAATGGGGCATATTAAATACGTTGGAAAACATTTTTTTTTCTGTAGAAATATGTACTTGTATTAGGGTGGGTTTTTTGAAAAAGGTTGTGGTAACATATATGAAGTTTGAAAACCACTTAGACCACCTTTCGACACCAGGCATTGTTAAGTCATAACCACCATACAAAAGTATATACCGGATCAAAGACCTCACCAACTAAGAAACCGTATACTTGAAGATCCTTAGCTCAAATCGTTATGGTTAGATTGTCTGTCCATATTTGTATAGCAATCCCTTTTTTATAACTCAGCGTATAATATCTCATCATTTTGTCTACCCATCTTTACACAGAGCCACTACAATGGCGTCTTCGATTGCTTCGCCAAAATGTATCGTCAAGAGGGTTTGTTCTCCTTCTGGAAGGGTATTCTACCACCTGTGATAGCAGAAACGCCCAAGCGTGCGATTAAATTTGTTTGTTTCGAACAAACTAAACCGCTATTTCTCTTTGGCGCACCAGCACCAACGCCACTGGTAAGTGTGAACTCATGAAACACACGTTCATTTTTTTTTTAGTAATTTCCATTTACATTTCACATCAACTTGCCTAATTATTAGACATTCTCGCTGGCCGGTTTGACAGCCGGTCTTATCGAAGCCATCGCCGTCAATCCTTTCGAGGTGGTCAAAGTCGCGCAGCAGGCGGATCGCTCGAAAATGAAGGAGGCCGAAAGTACCTGGTCGGTGGCGCGACGCATAGTGAAGAACGACGGACTGGGTTTTCGTGGTCTCAACAAAGGTGTCACTGCGACTATGGGTCGCAATGGTACCTTCAACATGGTCTACTTTGGCTTCTATCACAGTGTCAAGAACTATGTGCCTGCCTTTGAGGACAGCACACAGGAGTTCATACGCAAGGTCTTGATCGGTTTCACATCCGGCACGCTGGCCTGCTTCATCAATATACCATTCGATGTGGCGAAGTCGCGCATACAGGGCCCACAACCGCAAGCGGGTGTGCTCAAATATAAGGGCACCTTCCGTTCCATTGGCATTGTGTACCGCGAGGAGGGCTTCCGCGCGCTCTACAAGGGACTCGTACCGAAGGTGATGCGTTTGGGTCCAGGCGGTGCCATTATGTTGTTAGTCTTTGAGTATGCCTACGAATTTCTGCAGCACAAGCTCTTGTGAGTTCCCAAGTATTTGTGAAATTGCCTGTCTACTGCAGGAAAGCAGTATATACACAGCGACATGCATACATACATTTTGTACTATGCAGCTTATTTGATAAATTGTTTAAATTTTATTGTTATAATATCGCTAAATGGAAAATTTAATAAAAAAGTAAAATTTTTATTTTTTGTAAGTCTTATGAATTAATTTACTTTGCTAAACACTGTTTTACTTCATGACTTCTATGATGTCGCTGGCGAGTTTGGCGCAAAGCTTTGTATAATTAACAAATCGCTGCAATTTTCGCTCTTTGCTTCGACAGAAGACTTGTCTAATATCTTAACTGCCTTTGGTGTTTTGTTGTTGCTTTGTAATAAACCTTACAACCGGGTAATAAAATTCGAAACTGGTCTGTTGGCGCGCAGTGCAAAGGAGCCGGATACAAGGCGAGCTATTTCGTTTGGCTGGTGGTCTCACGGCTGCGCCAGGTCACTTTGGTGGCTCGAAGACAGATAACTAACTGGATCACTTAGTCTGCGCCGCGGTTATTGCTTTTTTTGTTTTTTTACTTACTATTAAATTGGAGTACATCGCCGTTCAGGCATTACCGAATGGCTTGTGAGTGGCTGTGTGTAATTATCGATTACTTCGCGTATTTATGATTGAGCAAAAATTCACAGCTTATAATTATTTAGTCACTTTTGTTGTTAACTTGAAACTACATGATTTCTGCAAAGGTTTGCCAGTCTGCGGTCTTATTATTATTATGCTACTTAGCGTCAACGCGCTCTGCTGTCGGCCGCCCATTCAACCTGGTTGCTGGCGCTGCCAGCTGGTCCTAAGCGCACATTGTTCGTATATTCGAACCACTTGCTATGCTTTGTGTTTAGTGTATAAGATACATATGTATACCTTTGCGCAAGGCGTAATAGGCGGAGTGGTCCTATTGAGCCGCGTAGCTCTTCTTCAGAATATCATTGCTTTCGCGGCTTTCTGCTTGAAGCAACTACTGTCATTTTGTAGAATTTTGAGCAATGAAGCTCGAAGTCTTCAACGTTGGCTATATATGACTATATTCTTGCGAAGCTCGCACAAAGCGTCTAATATATGCTGTAGTGGAGTTCTCAGCTATTTCCTTTCACACTTCACTAGTTGTGATTCCATTTTGTCTGATTGTTGCATGAAAATTTGTAGATTTAAAGTGAAAATCTCTGTTTCTTATGGAAAACACGAGCGCCGAAAGTACTCGCCAAAATAGTCTGACGCATAAGCGTAATCTGTATGGTTTTTTTGTTAGTGTTGCTATAAAACGTTCTCGTTCGTCTTCGCCAGAATTTCGTTAAATCTACGCGTGGAATCTTATGCATAAATACTTTTTATTATCGTATAAAGACACCATTAGCGTCTGCGTTTAACGGTTTGGATGAGTTTTGTTTTCTTGGCAGTTTAAGGCCGCTTGGAAAAACTGGACGCCGTACGATATAAGTTTTTATTTATTTTGACGTTGCGTTGAAGTTACTGCTGTACTGCTGTCCTTAGGTTAGTTTAGGTTAGGAGGTCGTTCCTATCCTAGGTTCCTAGGATCACACTTGGCCAGCTTAAACGCCAGTCCGTTGTGGTAATTAAAAATTCTTATAAGCTGGATCGAAAGACCCTTACATGCCGACCAAACGTGAGTAGTACTGCGCCGTAATGACTACAACCTTGGTTCCTTGCACTTTACGGCTCTTAAAATCGCTGAATAACCAGTTTACCAAGAAAATGGATTGTTTTGCATTCAAAAGTGAACTGGCTTTCAGTTTTTGTTGTGCTCAAGCAAATAAAGTAGAGCTGTACCATATATTCTTTCAGCTTTTTCGCCTACTAATCATTACGTTTATTGATAAATTTATGCAAATAACCTTAAAATAGTTTGAAAAACATTTGAAACGCAGCCGAACGCTTTGAGGCTTTGATTTAGGCTTTCTGTGAATATTGCTCATTAGTTTAAATTTAAGGTCGCGCAAGTTTTCGCACTCGGTAACTGGTACGCAGTATACTGTTACCGCAACGAAGCGCATTAGGGTCAAACACATACATAGTTCGTACTGGCCTTCACGTAATGCTTCTAAAGCGCAACTTTTGCCAAAACCCGCACAGACATTTCAATAATCCATATCTCAGCAGGCCGGACAATTGCAGCTAGCGCTTAGCGCTTAACAATTTGATACACAACAAACCAGTATTTTATGCTAAATTCGAAAGTGAACTAAAATGAAAACAAGCAACTGCTTCTAGATAACCGCGCGCTGCGGCGCCGACTGCTGGCGCTCAAGGACATGCGTCGCGCTGTTAGACGCGCGGTCGGTTGTAGGCTGGTCCAGCAAGTTGTTAGAATGCAAAAAGCGCACGGTGTTGTGGCTAATCCTAGACTTAAGTATACGCAAACACACACACACACACACCATGCTTATGTGTGTGTGTGTGTACATACATACATGTGTATTAGTTATTCGGCCATGTTTGCCTCTGCTATTTCGTGTGTAGTTCGTCGTATCTCTTACAGCTCAAAATGCTGTCCGGCCACTTTGAAGTGGAGCAAATTGGTTCATTTGAAAACTATTCTGCGTTTTTTTTTCTGTGCCACAAACTGTTGCATGACTTCATTTTCGTTGGTTTCATAACACTTTTAGCTTTCATTTGCAATTCAATTAGCGTTCCTAACTATCTTTGTTGATTTATGCCTGTCAGCGTTGCCGTTATGGCATGTCCAACAGCTGACGAATGCATAACTTTGAACTCTAAGACGCGTCGTGTGTTGAGAGTATAGCAAAGATAATAAAGTGACCGTTTGTGGCTAGCCGATTTGTGCCGATTTGCGCCGAATTGTGTTCGTTGAGTTTGGCAAAATCAGCTGTTTTGCTTACGTCATAATAACAGCTTTTTATGCAAATATTATAATAGGTTAGGTTAGGTTAATCTGGTAGGCTACTGAGCTATGCATAGATCAGTTTTGTTCCTTTGCGATGCCAGTTGGAGTACAGTTACGAGTTTCATGTGGAGTAGTCATCCTTAGGAATGCCAGCGCTTGCCGCGTATTTCAATAGACTCTGTGGCCTTACTATCGATACCTCAACAAAATGCACAAGAGATGCTCCTTTGTTTCTCTGTTGCCTGCTCTTAAAAATTTTTGCAGGCTTCCCGATCTGTCAGCCTCAATTTGCAGGCGTATACCACCAGCAAATAGTGACCAGTGAGTAAACCGATCATATTCCTACAGTCCCTTCTATCGAGTGCCAGTGGGAATTTTGTATACTTCCGTTCTACCGTTTTTTACACATGACTTTTCCAGTTTTGCACCCAGCTATATATGTTATAATAATTTTTAGCCATTTTAAACCAAAGAGCTTAGTTACTCTAATCTCTCTAGTAATCTGGAATATAAATTTTAGGTGAGATTTGCGGATGATTAGCTATTATTTACGCATTTAATCTTACGCCAGAGAGTCGGAATACCGAAACAAAGTCTCCTACCTTTGAGATTAAAGACCATCTATTAGATAGGAAAAAATAATCTTCAATATCTGGAAGATATACGGAAGGATCTTATATATATATATATATATATATAGACAATGTCATATATTTTAGCGCTTATCCTGACGTCGAGTCGGAATCCATAAGACATATATAGGTATAAAGATTCGAACAAGGAGCATCGCCTTATACTTGTAGTCGTGTAGTGACGTAAAATATTATATAGAGGGGCGGCAGGAGAACGACTGCGAAGGAAGAGAGCGAGTATTGTCAGAGAGTGATTGTTTCGCTCATATACGAGAGCATATGTAAGTAGATTTTATCGACTGGCTTCTGGGAAAAATTATTTAAGTTGTGAACTTATGGTAGTAAGAGGGAAGCACAGCTTGTTTTGGTATTGAGAACCGAGTTTGATAGGCAGATTGAGTTCCGCACTCTCCTTAAAGGCTTTTTTACAAGTTAAGCCGAGCGTAGTTGATTTTCTCATGATTTACAAAGCTAAACATTGGCTTCAACTATAGTGTAACCAAAATACCAAATCTCCATTCATGAGAAAGTTCAGAACAAAAAAGACAGGAAGCAAAAATTTGTGTTATTGAAGAGATAGAAGAAATATTCAACTTTTCAGGCATTCAATTGCATATTTTCTGCCGCACTCCTGGCAGCAATAATTTAATAAGTATTGAAATGTTAACTTTACACATGTAATTACCAATAATACCACGGTTTTACACACAATATTTATAAAAATAAAATCAATGTTCCGCCGCAGCAAAACGCTTGCTAGAAAAAGCACTACAGGAAAATGCAAATAATATTGCTCGCTTGTCGTCGCTTCTATGTCAGCGGCAGCAGCGTTTTCTACGACCGACCGTATGTGTTGGTCTAAGCTTTTTTGCCATGCGTCTGCATGATATAATAACGGATTGAGCTGTGAACTCGTTTTACTAGTTGCCGCACGCCACAGCAATTGCTACAAAGCTGCTGCACGCGTACCTTTAGCCAAAAATCTCCACAAGCCAAGCGCACAGTTCTTTGTTGCATGCCGCAACAAACGGTCGTTAGCTCCCTCGAAACGCTGTTAAAGTTGAAGAGTGCGCGCGTAGCACTAAAACATTGCATACATTGTGTGAATTGAACAGAAAACGCACACCGTTAGTCGGCGCAACTTTTGTATTGAGTTAACGCTTCGCTCTAATCAATTTTACCGAACATAATGCGCGTCGTACGCATCCTTTTTGGTGTCGCGTTCTTTGTCGCCAGCTGTGCTGCATATGAGTTATTTGAGTTAAGCGCAGCTGCAAACACAAAACTCGACTTGCAGGAGCGTAGTCGGCGCAGCTTTGATGTGGGCTGGCTGCTACGAAATTTGCTGCTAAATAGCGCCACCGCTAGCGATTTGAAGTCGAATATGACGCGCACCATTGCCGCATCTAAACTACAACCACCACCGCCAACAACGAGGCGACCGAGAACAACGCGTCCGCCAACTACACCGGCACCGGCACCGCCTCCACCACCGCCGCCGCCATTCAATCCGTTCTTTAACAAGTTTGCTTTATTTGCCAGCTCGTCAGATTTGTGGAACCCAACAATGCGCCCCACAACCACAACTACTACCACCACGACCACTGAGGCGCCTGAGACAACACCACCACCGCCTCCGCCTCCGTCAAGACGTCCGCGTCCACGCCCAAAACCATATCCACGTCCACCTGGTTTCAATAGACCACCATACCCTTATGACTATGACTCTTTTTATCCATCTGGGTTTGATGGCTCTCTGTCTCGCGGTAACCCGCGCTTTGGTCCTGTGGATTATGATTATAATGATGGGCCTACCGCACAGTCGGCGCCACCACCGCCACCACCAGCACCACCATCTGCGCCACGCAAAGCCGCACGCAATCGTCAACGCCCTGCAGCTCCACCGCCAGCGCCAACCCAACCGGCACTACCACCAATGCCACAAATTAGGCGTCGACCAGCAGCAGCATCAGCAGCACCACCACCGCCACCAACTAGGTCTCGACCACCGGCATCAGCACCTGTACCACCACAACCACAACGCGATCGGCTTTTGTATCAGTACGCGCCACGAGATGGTAAAATACGCCAACTTCTAATTAATTGTCATAAGATTGGCTTCACAAGCTCACTTTGCAGATACCTTTTACAATGAAAGTAATGATGATGTAGCCGGACCGCCGGAAGACGCACCCGAAGCAGATATTCCAACAGAAGAAGAAGACGACAATAGTAATGCAGCACCGGCGAGCGCTGACGCGACGAACGGCGTTGTAGGTGATGAAAATGAAATACCTGAAAGTGATGATGATGTTGGACCACCGCCCGAAGTTCTATCACCTTCCTTTGGTCGGCGTCCCAACGCAAGGCCACCGCCCTCGTCACCTTTTGCGTCGCCATCTTACTATGATGCAATTCCCTCTTCTCCATATAACTCCGGTTCCTTTAACGCTGGCTCGGGATTTAGCAGTTCCTCTTTCGGCTTCAATCGTGCTAGTCCTGCTAAGGGTGCATATCAGTTCCGTGATGCCTTCTCTGATTTTCAAACCAGCTACGACGGTGGTCACTTTCAGCCAAGCGGCTTTGGTTCATACAAATAGTCTTTTAATTAGGTGTGTAATATAATTGTTTAGTTTATTATGAACTTATTTTTTAGACCATGTCTTATCAGAGTTTCACTGTATTAAGTACAGTGTGTACCTATGTACTTTTTTTGTTAAATTTATCAAGCATGTATTTTGTAATTTGTTAAGAAATGTTGTAATAAAAATGCATACAAAATTCTATTTATAAACTTGGTTGAAGTTTAAGCTTTTTTCAATCGCAAGAATTCACAACAACAACGGAAATATTTTAAAATATTAACTTTCACATAAACAAATTATGTTTCGCGAGTTCAAAAATTAAGCTAGTCAAATGTTGAGCTTTCAAATTGGTTTAAGAAAAAATCAAGGAGAACTGGATTTTCTACGCTTTTCCATTGTAGTTGCAGCATGCAATGCATTTACCTTCAAGTATATATGCATACATGTGTGTGCGCTCAACAACAATAAAATTTTATACACTTATATACAGTTTACAACTTCCGTTATACCCAGGTGTTTGATTTTAATAGGGCAGTAATTGAATGACGCCGCAAAACTAGCTACGTCTGCCTCCGTGCCATCGGCACTAGACCTTGACTCCTAGAAACACTTGAGAAATAATTAACACGACACAGATACTTCAATCTACGCATAGACAGGCACAACAACTTGATTTATAGATTTCGAAAATATTAATTAGCACAAAGGATTTTAATATATACAATATTTTAATATTTTAACGCACGCACTAAAAAAGCAGATAAATTCGTGAAACTTCAAGTCAAACTGTCAAACGGCTACGAATGGCAAACGGAAGGAAATGCAGGTTAGGTCAGCAGCAAACATTACCGAGATCACACAAGGTTACCCAGTCATCATAAATGCGTGTGCAAATACATTTATTTAAACTATTGTATATAACTGTAATAAGTTGCAACTTAAAAAAAAGTAACATTTGTAGTAAGCACACACATAAAAACGTATTACTTTAAGCACTCTCTAAATTATTTTAAGATTAATATAATAATTAAATACAATAACGCTGTCAGTTGAGTCACCCTGTGTGCTCTCCAGCGTACAAAAATCACGCTCTGTTTACATTTTTTTAACGTTTGGCGAATATTTTTCTTATATACTCTTTTCGATCTTCCTCTATTTTTTGTTTTGTTCTTACGTGCGCTGCCATTGCTATGTCAAAATACGCAAAACGGCTGTCACCACGTGCAACAGCTGGACGCATGCAGAGAGACGAAACAATTCCATACGAATTTTTAGTGCCAATTTGTTTAAATATTAAGATAAAATACAGTGAAAATGGGTAAAAAAGTGTTTAACGCCAAGGCGCGTCAGAACCACAAAACGCTGGTGGACAACTCGGCAGTGAAGAATGTAAGTGCTGGCAAAGCTTTGTGCCTATGAAATGTTATGTGCACAAATATATAACTTGTGTTTTTTTTACACTTCCAATTACGCAGATCAAAATTGAATGGGCTGATGGTACTGCAGAAGCGGGCGCTGGCTATGATGACGCCAATGCATTGGCTCTGCCCTCGCAAAAGCGTGCGACCAAAGTGCAATTAGATAAACAGCAACATGTAAAAATTCTAACGAAGAAGCAACGCAAACACTTGCAACAAATTGTGGACAAAAAGAAGAAGAAGGAGGGCGTGAGTACTATTTAAACGCACTTTGAGCTTTAAACATTTGACTTGCATTTTATCAACAGCGCGCCGAATTACTACAAGCCTTAGCCAGCGTGCAAGTGTCTGAGCAAGAGCTGAGGCAGTATACATCCATCAGTCAGGTGCAGACGGTGGGCGTGAAAAAGTTACAGACGCTTGAAGAGGTGCTGGCAAAGAAACAGCAACGTCAAACAGAGCAAAGTAGCAACAAAGCAGTGGGAAAAATAAGCGCAATCAAAGGCGCAGCAAAACGCAAACTGCTTATAGAGGATGAGGAGGCGCTGGCAGCAAAAAGACGTGACCCTAATGTGGTGAGTATCGAAGAGATTGAGGACAGTGAGAGTGATAGCGATAGTGAAAGTGAGAGTGATGCTGAAATGGCGGAGGAACCAAATAATACAAGTGTTAAAGAAAATGTTGAGGATAGTGAAGAAAAAACTGAGGTGCCAGCGGAAATGCCCTCAACATCCAGGAAAATTACAGATAAAGAGAGTGCTAATGTCAATATTGCAGCGAAAGCTAAAAAACCTGCGGTACCAATGCGTACCACAGTCTACGTGCCCGTACATCGTGATGCGGATGTGCAGGCAGCGCGCCTTAAGCTCCCCATCTTAGGTGAAGAACAAGAAATAATGGAAACGATTAATGAGAATCAAATCATAATTGTGGCTGGTGAAACTGGCTCTGGTAAAACTACACAAATACCACAATTTCTTTACGAGGCCGGCTATGCGCAGAACAACAAAATTATTGGTATTACTGAACCGCGTCGCGTGGCCGCCATAGCCATGTCCAAACGTGTGGCGCATGAAATGAATCTAAGCGAACAGGAGGTGTCCTATCTGATACGTTTCGAGGGTAACGTCACGCCAGAGACGCGCATTAAATTCATGACGGACGGTGTGCTGCTGAAGGAGGTCGAAAGTGACTTTCTATTGCACCGCTATTCGGTCATCATATTGGATGAGGCGCACGAGCGCAGTGCCTACACCGATATACTGGTCGGGCTGCTGTCGCGCATTGTACCGTTGCGGCAGAAACGCGGCGATCCACTTAAATTGATCATCATGTCTGCCACGTTGCGTGTGGAGGATTTCATAGGCAATCCGAAGCTTTTTAAATATCCGCCGCCGATGCTGAAAGTGGAGGCGCGTCAGTTTCCGGTCACCGTGCATTTCCAGCGACGCACGCCTACAGATTATCTGCAGGAAGCTTTCAAAAAGACTGCTAAGATACACTCTCAACTGCCTGATGGTGGCATTTTGGTGTTTCTAACGGGTCAGCAGGAGGTGAACACGCTGGTGCGCAAGCTGCGACGCACTTTTCCATATATCAAAAAGGTGGATGAAAAGAAAGGAGCGGAAAAGTATGAAAAAACTGCGGACAACAAAGCGGAAAATAACGCTGATATCTCCGGCGAACCCAAAGAAGAAGCTAAAAAGATGGACGAAGCTGATGAAGACAGCACTGAGTTGCTGGGCACGCGCGACGATGACGATTCTGACATTGAATTCGATATGAAACGCGCCATACGCAGCGTGAAAAAGTCGAAGAAGAAGTTCATGTCACAAATTGCGTTGCCGAAGATTAACCTTGACGACTACAAACTGCCGGGCGATGACACAGAAGCCGACTTGCACGAAGCTCAAAATAGCGAGTCCGAAGCCGAAATCGTTTCAGACAATACCGATGAGGAGGATGATGCGGATGGCGATGAATACAACGCTGCGCATATAGCCGCTACCAAAGAGCCGCTCTGGGTACTGCCGCTCTACTCGCTGCTCTCGCCGGAGAAACAGAATCGTATTTTCCAACCGCCACCAGAGGGCTGTCGTCTCTGCATAGTCAGCACAAATGTGGCTGAAACGTCGCTGACTATACCGAATATTAAGTACGTCGTGGATAGCGGTCGCCAAAAGACGCGGCTCTACGATAAAATCACCGGCGTTAGCGCCTTCGTCGTCACCTACACGTCTAAAGCCTCAGCGGATCAACGTGCTGGTCGCGCCGGGCGTGTAAGCGCTGGCCACTGCTATCGGCTGTATTCGAGTGCGGTTTACAACCACGACTTTTTGGACTTCAGCCAGCCAGATATACAAAAGCGGCCGGTGGACGACCTTATGTTGCAGATGCGCTGCATGGGCATCGATCGTGTTGTGAATTTCCCCTTTCCCTCACCGCCAGACACAGTGCAGCTGCAGTCGGCCGAACACCGCTTGGTTGTGCTTGGCGCGCTGGAACGCATGGAGGCGCTTAAAGAGGGCAAGGAACTGCCACCGGCTGTCACCAAACTTGGCCAAGTCATTTCACGTTTCCCTGTTGCGCCGCGCTTCGGTAAGATGTTGGCGCTGTCGCATCAGCAACAACTCCTGCCGTACACTGTCTGCTTGGTGGCCGCACTATCAGTGCAAGAGCTTTTGATGGAGGTGGGCGTAAGCGAACATGCGGAAGACGGCGACGACGGCAACGCATTTGCGCGCAATAAGTGGCACAAGAAGCGCATCAGTTGGGCTGCCACCGGCAATTATCAGCTGCTGGGCGATCCAATGGTGCTGTTGCGCGCTGTGGGCGCGGCAGAGTACGCAGGTTCACAAGGCAAATTAGCGCAGTTCTGCGCCGAGAATGGACTGCGTCCGAAAGCGCTGACGGAGGTGCGCAAGCTGCGCGTGCAACTCACTAACGAAATAAATTTAAATGTGACCGGCGTCGACTTGTGTGTAGACCCGTCAATGGCGCCGCCTACCGACGCGCAAGCGCGCTTCCTACGACAAATTCTGCTAGCCGGCATGGCTGATCGTGTGGCGCGCAAGGTGCCACTAACCGATGTAAGCGATAAAGAGGAGAAGCGTCGCCTCAAGTTCGCGTACAATTGTGCCGATATGGTGGAACCGGTTTTCATGCACTCCTCGTCGGTGCTGCACACAAAACTGCCCGAATGGGTGGTCTACCAGGAGGCGTATGAGACGCAACATGGTGATGGCACGAAAATGTATATGCGCGGTATCACCGCCATCGAGCCGGAATGGCTGCTGCTATATGCGCCACTACTCTGCAATATACGCGACATCAAGGAGGAGCCAATGCCGCGCTATAAAGAGGCAGATGGTAAGGTGTATTGCTTCGTGGACGCGACATTCGGCAAGGCGGGTTGGGAGCTGCCGCTTATCGAGGTGGAAATGCCGGCGGGCGAGAAAGCTTGCAGGTGCGCACGTCATTTCTCTATGCGCTTACACTCTTAATTTACAAATTAATTTCTTATTTGTATATTTGCAGCTACTTTGGCGTTTTCCTGCTGGAGGGTCAGGTTTGTCCCGCTTTGGCCACCTATAAAGGGAAGTTGAAGGCCACGCCGCCCTCGCTGGTGAAGAGTTGGTCGAATCTGAACGAGAGCGTGGTGCGTTTCAAGCGCGCGCTTAGCAGCAAGCAAATAAATACGCGCGAGAAGCTGCACGCGGAGTGGGCGCGCAATCCTAACTGTAAGTGTTGCATGTAGAAAAACGTAATTTATTTTTT